ACATTAGGTCGGGAGCTTGTTAAAAAGTTGAAAGTGGCGCTACACGTGGCCATACGATGATTGAAACAGCATGATAGAGTGGCCTCAAGTAAACAGAGATCAATCCCCAGCCAAGAAGACAGGGCTTCAGCTTCCACTGTGGCCTCCAGCATGCCTAAAAAAGAAACCTAAAACATACTGTGCACATCTCCTTGTGCTGTTCCCACTGCAGAGCATTCAGTCTCAGCTCGACTCTCCGTCTCTGTGCCGTGATGTGCTTGGTGGCAGGGCGTGCCTGGAGGCCCGCGCATTTAAAAATTCTTCCTTTTAAACTTTCTGCCTTCATCTCAAAGCTCCAGTGCAAAGGGAGAGGGAGAAACAGTGAGGCAGAGACTGCTGGAGGCAAAGTAGCTTCACAGAAAAGTGAGGGCCTGCTGTCTTTGTGGTTTTCCTCTTGTTTCGTCTTCTTTTCCTCCTCTGCACTCTATTTTCCTCTACACTCCTTTATTTTTGCTAATCATTTATATATTCATCCCTTTGCGCTCCTTGTGTTTTGGCAATTTAAACTTCACGGTTTATATATCAGATGTGTCAGCCTATACATGTCTTTCCCCCTTTGAGATGTAAAATCCCAAATTTCATCCACATATATGAATATATACAGTCTTTTAAATTTTGCTGAATGCGTAGTTTTAGGGACTAACAACTGGGAGTTGATAAAAGTGGAAGAAACAAACTCCAAACTCGGTGAAGAGGCTGAGGCTCCTTTGTGATCCTTTTTATGCTGATGCGTTGATGCTTAACGCTCCTTCTGCACATGTCTGAAGGTCTGATTATAGATTTTACATCTGCTCTTTACAAGTGCTTTACATATACAGCAGCATGTAACGATGCCTCGCTAATGTTTGGGTGCGGTCTCGGAAACACAATGTAGTGCCACAACACACCTGCATAAAGACAACTCTCGCTTGATGGTGTCATGTACTCCAATTTTAACAGGACACCTGGTGTTTCTTGGCAATGAATATGACCAGTCAATCCATCAGATTAAGTGGTTCTATGAATACGGTTGGCATTGTAAGTGTTGATGATTAAGATACATCCGGCTTGGTAATCAATCAGTAGGAATTTTAATAAAGATGCAACCATCCTGCCATATACTGTGAAATGTTAACAGTAATCTGTGCTCACTTATCACACTGAGGCTCTGGCCGCATTGTGCTTGCCTCAGGTAAAGTGAGTGTTGCACAAGTGTGTTAAGGAGTGTGTGTTCTCCGAAAACACGCTCAGAATTTTAGTCTTTTTAAAAAAAAAAAAAGATTCTGTCCACGTTCCAAGAAGAAAATGCTTCCTGATGCCACATGTCCCTGAAGATGAGGATGAAGTTAAAGCGCAGAGAGGAGGACGAGGAGGGAGATTATGGAGCAGTGCCAACTATGAGGTCACCTTAGTGTTCAATCTTCACTGATGAATGAAAGCGCCACAGCACAGCTCTGCAAGAGAAGGAATAAGAAAGAGATACCGGCTGAAGCTGGTTTGTGTATTCAACAGCAACTGATAGTAACCTGAGGATAAGGCAGTAAACGCTATCATAATCATTTTATACATTATTTACAAAACATTGATATTATATAGGACATTTGAATTGGAGTCATGAATTAAATAATCTGTATGCATATTTAGAAGGAGATTTGGGAATGACCCAAATAATCTGTGGGGAATATCAAGCTGTTGTAGTGTGAGTATCCTGGAGCCTGAAATGTTTTACTGCCAGCACATAGTGGTCTTCAGCTAAATAGCTTTTAAAGGAAAATCTGATTTTTCAGAGAAACCATCTATCTTCTACAGTGGCATTTTTGTTTCTTTGTTTCATTTAGGCAAAATAAAGTAAATATATCGAGGTCAAATTAAACTAAAAAGCACATTTAGATTGTTGTTCATAGTGAATGAGTAACAGTTTGAATAATTTACCTCATTCCATGTTACAATTAGAGTTGTGTTTTACTTCATATTCAGCTTAACTATAAACGTGTGCATATTATGTTAGCTGAAAATGCAAACATTTGAGTAATGCATCATGAAACTGGGTGGTTTTCTTTTCTTTTCAAATTTATAATTGACAGTTGCCAGGGGATACCTGCGTTGTCACATTCCTGAAATGCATTTAACCCCAATTGTAACTGGAGTTTATCTTTTTCTCTTTTTAATATAATAACTAAAGCATGCAGTTCAGCAGCAACTTTCATGGTGGAGTCTTTAAAAAAAACAAATTGATGATGTGAGATATCACAGAAAAGTTTGAAGGCTTATAAATCCTTATAAATATTCTGTGGAACTGGATAACTGTGGCATTTTGTGTGTGCATGCATGTGTGTTTGTTTTTTTAGATAAAACTTACTGCGAATGTGTCCCTATCAGTGTGGAATCAGTGTGTTTAATCCAGCCCAGGTTAAGCGCCCTCTGGAATTCAAATGCGTGAAAACTGCATTATCTTGAAAATAGCCAGAAATTCAGGAGCGGTGCGTTCGCTACCTTTGAAAACATTTCCATGACCGCGGCTGGGCCATGACAAGCCTAAGGTCTATCAGCTAAATGGTCCACGCAGAGGGCAAACAGATAGCCGATGGACAAACTGATATGGTGACGAGGGAGAAGATGCAGGCAGACGGAGAGATGGAACGATAGGAGACTGGAGAGGGGTCTAATGAATGAAACACACTTTGTACCCATTTGCTACAACGAGATGGGAGGATGACTATGTCAAACACAGTTTATCCAAGGCAGCTCGGTCAAAGAAAAGGATAGCAGGATTCTTACATTACTAAGCCCTGAATAAGATCCAACACATCAAACATCATGTTAATTGTTCATATGTGTAGATATATGCATGTTATTTTAATCTAAACTTTGAGTTCTTTCCTTTATTAGGTAGCTGTTCAACGGCCAAAACATTGAAAGCTAAATGTGATATTATCACGGCAAGAACACACACACGTCATTTTTAATTATTGAAGTTATTTATAGTTTCGTTCCTTAAGATTGTTATGTTATCGTCTATGGGATCGTCCTGACAGCTGTTTTTGCTTTAATGTGTGTTTGTCCAGGTGCCGTACGAGCCTCCAGCATCTTCCCCATCTTGAGTGTGATCCTGCTCTTCATGGGGGGGCTCTGCATTGCCGCCAGCGAATTCTACAAGTCACGCCACAACATCATTCTCAGCTCTGGCATCCTCTTCGTCTCTGCAGGTAGAAAGGAGAGAAGGGGGGGAAAGCGGAGGGGGGGCGAGGGGTGGAGGGCTTGAGGAAGGAGGATGGCTGACTAACCATGAGATGTCAGAGGAAAAGCCAGTGGGTGGGGCAAAAGACGAGGGAACGGTGATTCAGAAAAAGAGATGAAAGCCGGAGTAAATACAAAACAAACAGGGGGAAGCTATAAAGGGAAGAGAAACCTCAAGATCGGCATTAACTGAGTGAGACGTATCAAAACATCTGAAGAGAATAAGATTGATTTCATTTCTGGTTATCAGTCGAACATTCGATGTTCTGTGAATGCCTGTGATGGTTCTTAAGATTACCACCGGGTAATGTGTTGTGTTGCTATGTGTGACACATGCAGAAAACATCTGCCTTAGATTGTCACAGATCCTAAATAGACGCAGGTTGCCGTTCTATGTTCTTCTGTATTTATATGTGTGTCATAGTTCTAGGCCATGGCCTACTGTGTTGTACTAGATAACTAGTTCCCCTCCAAGTCGGAAGTGAGAGATGCAGTTCTCTGTGTTTCTCCCTTTTCTTTTTTGCTGTCTGTTTCTGTCTCTCTCACCCTGTTGCTAGGCTAAGAAGAGGCCAGTGGGATTACACTCTAAAAATAAGGTGTCCCTGATACTCTTTTCCTCTGATCCATCTCAATTAGGCCTTCAGTCCAAACTCCTCAGTCTGCCATTCTGTATATCTTTATACTTCTTTATTGTCGCTGTTTGTTTTCACATTTGTGTTGTTTTTTGTTTTTCTCTCTAGTAGATTGTCCTGGTTTAATTAGATATTTCCGGTTGAGCACACCCACAATGCAAAAAAAAAAAGTCATACTGTAAAGAGAAAAAAGGTTTCACAGATTAGGGAAATCAGCAGACTGTGCAAATTCAAACATTTTCAAAGGCAGGAACAGCTGGGGAGGATGAAATGTAGAGATAAAGAGTTGATGTGAGAAAAAGAAAAGAATCTTCCCCAGTTTGGATACAAATTTAAACAAAACTCTGGATTTTTAGTTATCACAAATGAAGACTGTGCGTGTGGGATAATGCATAGGGTACATTATATTCCTATTAGTGTTTTTACCTTAGAGCAGCCTATTACTGTCAAATATTGGGACAAGCTTTGAGTAAATTTGCATCAACTGGCCTCTCCAGATCTGAATAAAAGAGCTGTTTAAAGCTTGACCTCTCACTATTAAAGGTTGTCCAATAACTCAAATATCTTTGGGTTGGGAGGTACTTTCAAAAGGAGACGTGAGATTTTTCAGTAGTGGATATTTTTATTCTCTGTATGAAAGTTTTATTGGTGTAACATCAGGTTATCAGGTTTATTAATTAACATGTATTATTTTGCATGTTACTATGGCATAAATGTAAAAAAAAAACAACAACAGTTAACATTACAATGTAAATATAGAGGATTAACTTTGAGAATGTGTCGATCTATTGAGTTTGGCTGTACTGTGGCTTTGATATAAATTCTTCTCTTTTCCATTTTTTAGGCCTGAGCAACATCATAGGAATCATCGTGTACATATCAGCCAATGCCGGTGACCCTTCTAAGAGCGACTCCAAGAAGAACAGCTACTCCTATGGCTGGTCCTTCTACTTCGGCGCCCTCTCCTTCATCATGGCTGAAATGGTGGGCGTGCTGGCCGTGCACATGTTCATCGATCGCCACCGGGAGCTGCGGGTGGGAGCGCGAGCTGCCGACTACCTCCAAGGCGCGGCCATCACGCGCATCCCCAGCTACCGCTACCGCTACCGCCGCCGCTCACGCTCCTCATCCCGCTCCACAGACCCCTCGCACTCCCGCGAGGCCTCGCCGGTGGGCCTGAAGGCCTTCGGGACGCTGCCCTCCACCGAGCTGTCCATGTACACGCTGCCCAAGGGCCAAACGGGCACCCCAACAGCTACCTATAACTCCACAGAGAGGGACCACAACTTCCTGCAGGTCCACAACTGCATTCAGAAGGACCTGAAAGACTCAGGCGGCAACTCCGCCAACCGCCGCACGACACCTGTATGAAACAGAGGTGGACCACAGACATTGACAGAAATGAGAAAGATGTTGGGAGGGGGGGGGGGGGGGGGGGGGGGGGCAAGGCGGACAACGACAGATCATTGTGTAAGTAAAGGACAGGTGGGTTTAAATGGACGGATTTAGGTGTGAGGGGGTGTGTGATGGGGGGAAATTCTGAGCGCTCCACAGCACCTCGGATAATCATTGAGTTCCTGTTGAAAAAAAAAAAGGAAACAGAGCAAAAATGCTTTAAAAAAAAAGAAACATGCATGATTTTCCCATGAACCATTGTTTAACAAGATCTGAACATGTTTGTCCAGAGTTGGGGGGGGGGTGATAAACTGGGAGGAGAGACTTCTGGGATGCTGAAGTGTGTGTGTGTGTGGTGGGTGGTGGTTGTCTTGGGACTGTGGAACCGTGGAGAGGTGGGCTGGGCCAGACTGCCTGTTCAAAGGCCAACTTTTTTCTTTTTGTTTCTTTTACTTTTCCTCAGTCTGAACAAAGAGGGGTATTGTTTTCCCCCTTGGCCCAGCCAGTTAACCTGCCCTTGCACTACCATACAACAAGCCCCAAACACTCACTCTGTAAACACCCTTACACCCAACTCCTTTGTTTAGTTGCTGTATCTTCTTGATTTAATTCTTTAATCACATTAATACTGTGAACCATTGCGGTGTGGGATTCAAACAGGGAGCAATTCAGGCCGCAAAACAATGATAAACATATATATTTAAAAAAAGAAAAAAAAACACATAAGTTAATATATGTATTGATTATTTATAAATATACAAATATATATGTTGATACATCATGACTAGACGTCCCTGGCGCAAAAAAATATAAACAGGAAAAAAAATGAAGTAACTTAAAAGTTACTGTAGTTAAACTATATCAAGTCATCATGGAAAGAAACCAAGAAGGAAGATTCAGCTAGACAGCTCTTTTTGATAAAGAAGGCTTCAGCCAGCTTCATAAACTGATATCAGTTAGTATTAGACACATCTTCACATTCTTTTACCATAACAATGAAAAAAAAAAGTCTGAATGTCTGCCAAAGCCCTGGCAGCCATCTTTGATCAGGGTCAGCAAGTGTTGAAAAGTTGACCTCACTTCTTTTTTTTGTTTGTTTTGTTTTTGTTTGTTTGTTTGTTTGTTTGATTTACCCCCAAAAGGGGCGGAGTGAGGAGAGAACTCTGGGTAAGGAATAATCTCTCCGCAAAACTTGAAGATGACTGTGGACAATGAAACGTCACTACTGCCAAAGACACAAAGTAGTACGTGAGAGAACACGGCTACCATCAAGCTGAAGCAAAGTGACTCCAAAAAATTAAGAATTTACGTGCATGCTAATCAAAGACATCCAATCTGCTTTTAAGAAACCTATGTTTTGAACAACTGAACAATGATATCATGTAAGGGCAGTAGGAAAATAAGAATTAATGTTACAGTACTGTGTCTCTTATCTATCTTTTTTTTTTTTTTTTGGAGTGGGCTGGGGACTCATTACGTTTGAGAGAAAAAACTAATCTTTGAAAATGTATCAGTTATTTTTTAACAGAACAATATCTTATGTTGCTTTTTCAATTACTTTCATAGTTCAGTTGAACTCACACACAACCCTTTTCTTTCTTTCTCTAATTTTTCTTGCTCTTTGGTTCTACATTGTGTTGTAAATGAGAATATAAAACAGCGTAATATCTTTCAAGGTGCCAAAACTGAATGAATCTGAACTTGGATGCATCAAGTCCTGATGACAAATAAATACTGACCCCTTCCCCTGTAGGGAACTGAACGGGTACTCGTTGTATTTGATTTGGTAAGAAAACACCAACGGGCTTCATGTAGAAAGTTTCTGGGATATACTGTATCTGTGTTTTCCTCCTTGGTGCACAGTTGACATGGGGACGACGCCGACCCTACATGGGAATCCAAGTAAGTAACCTTATGCAATGTACTGTACATGTCCGTGTTGTTCCACAGTCTCAACCGCCGTCGTCATGTCGTTCTGAAACTACTGCAACACATAATAGGAGAAAAAGGAAGAGAAGTCCACATTTATGTTGAACAGACGGAGCCCACAGATTGGCATAGCCTTTATAATGAGAAGATACCTGCAGGTACATCACTGGTTGTTGCCACAGTATTATGAGCAAAAAATGATCAAATTACAGCATGTTAGGCATTGTGTAAAGCCGTGTGCCGTGTAAACACAAACTGGACAAACAGCATTCATTTCAGTTGTTACATTCTGCTTCCCAACGTTGTGCTGTTACATTTCTCAAGCTGTGGCTGTGGAATAGGGCACACGGTGAATCTGACACTGAAGCCTGAAACAAACCTTTTATAGGGGAAAAAAGGGGGAAGCAAGATCACTCTTACAAAGACAAGAAAAAAAGTCATATTCACAGAGTGCAAATGCTGCAGACTACATGACACTTTACACAATTAAACTGGGAATGATTCATTCCTTCACTGTTCACCTAGCCGAGTCACTGGAAACCATTTTTTTAACGTTTTTCTTTAGACAAGGGGAGCATACATGCTTTATTAAGCTAATACAAGCTTTATTAAGGTAAGACAAAATGCCTCAATAAAGCAGTATCAAGATATCCCTGTCAAAGCTGAGCTTTCTTTGTGGTATTTAGACAAATTTAAACCAAAAGAATGGGTTGACATCTCAGTTCATCGGTTTACATTACAACTGAAATAACTGTTGCTCACAAACTCTGCGGAAATCTGATGGTAAAACCTATTTGAAAACAGTGGATTCACTGTACATTAAAAAGTAGCAAATAAAGTATAAATTAAATATTAGATTGTCTTTCTTAGTTGATGCTCTACAGAAAAAAAAATCAAACATTTTCGGCCGTCTTGTGCTCAAAGTGGCTTTTTGTTCCTCGCTATAGGAATTCTCAACATAAATGATGCGGCAGAGTATTGTAATGTGTTATTTATGACTCTGCCACTTACCTGTAGTTACTACTGGTTCACCAGCTATGTCAGCTGTCACTTAATTCCATACACCAACCCATCCAGGAGGGGGATGATTTCCATTTGTTCTGGTTTTTGCAAGTGATTTAAGATGTCAGCACTGTGCAAAGACAAGACTTCCTCTTTTCGTAAACATTCAACCTTCATCAGTATTGTTTCCCCCCCCCAGATCCTCCATTACTACCTCTCTTTATTACCTTTAGAAACTCATTGTCATGTATCCGCCGTCTTACTTTTGCTCAATTACTCACTCAATGTGTTTTTTTTTTAATTGCTTCTTTCTGTCATCGCTCCTGCAACATCTTAGACACATGCCATGTTGTCCTGCATGAATCTTTTTCTATGTGGTGTCCTTCTTTCTATCCCTCTCTTGCTCACTCTGTCCTCCCCTGGTGTGATGATCAGAGAAGCTGGCATGTCTCTCTGCAGCACTGCTGTGATCACTGAGGAGAGACAAGGCAGGGAGGAGAAGGAGGAAAGAGAGCAGGGAGTGCAGCAGTTATTGGGCCTGACGGAAACAGTGCCACACTGCCTCCATCTGGCCCGGAGGTTTTTGTCCGATCAGTTTTAAACTGAAGGGCCTCTCGCAAATCAGAAAAATTCTTCTTGCTGACACTGGAATTTGGAATAGACTGTAGAAAAATAGTTTTACTGCATCGTGTCACAACGTATGATTAGATCAATCATTCCAGGACTGTCTATCTGTATGCAGTATGTACATAGGTCAATTTGGTTAGGACTCTCTTTGCATATGGACGTTTATCGTTATATGAATTATCGCACACGAGCATGGATTGATTTTTCCCATTTGCCAGATCAGCTTTACTCAAGATTCTATTCTCTATCTCTATACAAATACAAATACACATTACAGGTAGTTTATACAACCTATTACCAAGACACCTAAAACATATTATACAAAACAGTTGTTAACTACAAATGCTATGGAAGCTCTATACATTGGAAAATTCTTAAATTGCATATTCAAACTTAGAAAAAATTATTTCAGTGCCTGTTAAAGGACACTAGATACAGTGGGGAGAACAAGTATTTGATACACTGTTGATTTTTCAGGTTTTCCCACTTGCAAAGCTTGAAGAAGACTGTAATTTGTATCATAGGTACTCTTCAACTGTGAGTGATGGAATCTAAAACAAAAATCCAGAAAAATACAATGTATGATTTTTAAATAATTAATTTCCATTTTATTGTGTGAAATAAGTATTTGATCATCTATCAACCAGTAAGAATTTTGGCTCTCACAGACATGTTAGTTCTTCTTTAAGAAGCCCTCCTGTTCTCCACTCATTACCTGTATTAACTGCACCTGTTTGAACTTGTTACCTGTATAAAAGACACCTGTCCACACACTCAATCATCAGACTCCAGCATCTCCACAATGCCCAAGACCAGAGAGCTGTGTAAGGACATCAGGGATAAAATTGTAGACCTGCACAAGGCTGGGATGGGCTACAGGACAATAGGCAAGCAGCTTGGTGAGATGGCAACAACAGTTGGTGCAATTATTAGAAAATGGAAGAAATACAAAATAACGGAAAATCTCCCTCGGTCTGGGGCGCCATGCAAGATCTCACCTCGTGGAGCATCACTGATCTTGGGGAAGGTGAGGAATGAGCCCAGAAGTACACGGCAGGACCTGGTCAATGACCTGAATAGAGCTGGGACCACAGTCTCAAAGAAAACAATCAGTAACACTCTACGCCGTCAAGGATTAAAATCCTGCAGTGCACGCAAGGTGCCCTTCCTCAAGCCAACGCATGTCAAAGCCCGTCTGAAGTTTGCAAATGACCATCTGAATGATCCAGAGGAGGAATGGGAGAAGGTCATGTGGTCTGATGAGACAAAAATAGAACTTTTTGGTTTAAACTCCACTCGTCATGTTTGGAGGAAGAAGAATGATGAGTACAACCCCAAGAACACCATCCCAACCGTGAAGCATGGCGGTGGAAACATCATTCTTTGGGGATGCTTTTCTGCAAAGGGGACAGGACGACTGCACCATATTATGGGAAGGATGGATGGGGCCATGTATCGTGAGATTTTGGCCAACAACCTCCTTCCCTCAGTAAGAGCACTGAAGATGGGTCGTGGCTGGGTCTTCCAGCATGATAACGACCCAAAACACACAGCCAGGGCAACTAAAGAGTGGCTCCGTAGGAAACATCTTAAGGTCCTGGAGTGGCCTAGCCAGTCTCCAGACCTGAATCCAATAGAAAATCTTTGGAGGGAGCTTAAAGTCCGTGTGGCCCAGTGACAGCCCCGAAACCTGAAGGCTCTGGAGGAGATCTGTATGGAGGAGTGGGCCAAAATCCCTGCTGCAGTGTGTGCAAACCTGGTCAAGAACTACAGGAAACGTCTGATCTCTGTAATTGCAAACAAAGGTTTCTGTACCAAATATTAAGTTTCATTTTTCTGGTGTATCAAATACTTATTTCACACAATAAAATGGAAATTAATTATTTAAAAATCATACATTGTATTTTTCTGGATTTTTGTTTGAGATTCCATCACTCACAGTTGAAGAGTACCTATGAGAAAAATTACAGTCTTCTTCAAGCTTTGCAAGTGGGAAAACCTGAAAAATCAACAGTGTATCAAATACTTGTTCTCCCCACTGTAGATGCTTTGGTTATCCAGTTGAGTATTCTCAAAAGTGCTTTCCAGATGTTCGAGAATAAAGACTGCAGTCCCTGACCCATGAACTAGCACAAGCAAAAATACTGAAACATAACTACCAGTGCCAACATTTGGACCTTTCCAAACCAGGATGGACGCTGTCTCATTATTTCTGCGCCCTGCAGTCAGCTCAGCTGGACGCGGTGCATAATGTGATAAAAAGCGCTGTGTCTGGCCTGGACTGGTGGGCCTCCATTTGAATGCAGAAGGCAGCCAGACAACAGAGACACGGCTGTGACCTGGTTTGAATGGGAGGGCATTAATTAGAACAGTGATTACTGGCTGTTAGTACTTCTCCGGGTACACAGCTGAAAAGATGACTGAAGCTGGGGAAAGAACGCTGGAAGAGAGAATGACAGACAGCAAGAGGGAAAGGAAGAGTTTATTTTTAAAAAATATATATCAAAGAACCAAAATTGTTAATGCAACCAAACAAAATGCAGATGAAGCTTGAAAATGACAATGAGCTGGAGCGAAAACATTAAACAGCATCACCATCGGTGCCAAAGCAAACCTCCTTATCAACACACATCAGGGGAACAAAAGAGCGCTGCTCAAAGCTGATTACAACAAAAACAGTCCTTTATTTGAGGTCATATTAAAATATCATCCTGAACAAGGTCTTCTACAGTTAGGGGAGCGTGATACAAAATCTTGTTTTTTCCCATGCTTTATGTGTTGCATTGAGTTTCGTTCGGCCTCGATCTGACAGAAAGTTGGGGTTTTTGTACTTGAGTCAGACGGGAGCTATCCGGGGCCGAGGTTCTGGATGGTCTCACAGCGCTCTTGATAGAGGGCGTGAAAAGCTCGAGCTAAAGTGAGGAACGGGGCATCACAGTTTATCATCTCCTTCTGTAAGAGACCAACGAAATCATACAGTAATTAGTGCAGGGACAAGTCCCAGGTTTTAATGTGACCCGTGCACATGCACACAGGGTTTTGACTCTATCTGACATATACGCAAGACACAGTAAACTGTGTTGTCCAACACTCACAGCGGATGTCTCGTGATACTCCAAGCCCTGGCTCTGGGCCCATTCCTTAGCTTCGGATTCCTGTACTTCTCTTCTATCGGATAAGTCTAACTTGTTGCCCACCAGGACGCCTGGAAGACACAAATGCACAAAAAGATCTCATCACCTCAAAGTCCTGTCCGTTTCAGAATCACTCAAAATGCTTTGCAGTTGTCAGGTGAAGCAGCGGGGGACGGGAGGCTGAACAATCGCCTCTTCTGAAACATGAAGCAGTCAAACTCGGCGTTGGCAAATTCTAGGAGAGCTTGGAGTGAGCCAGGATCTATTTCCATCCTGAGAAAAAAGGTGGAGGTGGTGGAGGACAACAGATTAATGGAGACGTAGAAACAAAATGCTCAACATTTGGAGGATTCTTAGTCCTTTTATTGTGAGTGTTCACGCCAAAAAACAAGTGTGAAGCACAGTTGTAATGGATCATATATGACACATATCTGTGTGTCTGATGTTGTGTGTCTCAGAATAGGGTCTGCCTGTTGCAAAGTCCAAGACGTGACATTTTCAGGCGCAAAGTAAAACAGCACATAACTTTTGTCGGGATCAGCTGCAGCCCTGCATTGGGATCCTGAATTGGATCAAAAAGATATATAGCAAACAGGTGGAAAGACTGTAGCAAGACCCTTCAATATTTTTTACATCAGTTCCCAAGCATCTCCTAAAGATCCTGCATTCAGTGTTTATGGACTTACAGCTGTACAGCTTTCCAGCACGATGCCGGGAACATCTTATTGTTCACTATAAAACATTTGGCGACTTCCAAATTCTTCATCCCTTTTTATGAATTTATTCCCAAAGCTCCCTGATCTCATCCACAACTCGCCCTGGGAATCAGTGAAAGAAATCAGGTTAATCATTTTTCTTTGGTGCCTTGAATGAAATTAGCCAAATTTGTCTGACACCACTATTATTTCTGTGCAATAAAAACAGGGTTCAGGTCAAGATCGTTAAGTCAAGAAAATAGGAATGCAGATATCAAATTGAAGTTGTCCACAAACAGCCTTCATCAGTGGTTCGGTATTTCATTGGCTGCTTACCTGGAACATGCAGACCCTGGCAGTGTGCTTGCACTCTCTCCATCCAGCGGCTGCAGTTGGCAAAAGACTGCTCATTGGTTAAGTCAAAAACCAGACACAGCAAGGAAGGTTCACCCCACTGTGGAGGGGAAAAAGGCGGGTGGCAGATGAATACAGACAGAGTCAGACACAGGGCTGGAATTACATCAGCTTTCCTTTTACTTTGTGATGAATTATCATTTTTAAACTTGAGAAACTCCTGTCACTCTACTTTCTTTTAGGAAGTGGAGCTGTGATTGATTTGGTCAATTTCATAGAGAGGGGATGAAATCAAGAAGAGCAGGCTGACCATTTTCTCACAGGACTCCAGCAGTGCCTCCTTCCCTGCAGAGTCCAATATATAAAGCTCCTGGAAAGGGGTGGCGAGAAGAAAAGAACGAGGGGGAGATGTTATAGATAAAGATTTAGTCAAATTACATGGTTTTAAACTATTTTTCTCTTTGGCAAGGACATTTATGCTCCTTCTACTATGCTGATGTATTGCCGTGTGAATACAGATGAGAAACGAACAGAGTTAGAACGTGTTCCACGGTGAGTGATGATTTCCAATTCTCAGAGGATCTCCCTAGCACGGTTTTGGTGCCTCGTAACTTTTCCCGCAGACGAATGAACCCACGGCGGCCGTCTGGCAAGCTTTCAGAGATATGCAAAGCTATCACATAACCCCAAAACGTGGCAAGTATTTTTGGGTTAGAGCGAAATCAGGTGTCACCTCTTCAGCTGGACCCCAACGTGTCCACTAAGCCTCGGTCAGTCCAGCAGACTGCTGGGACCTCACATAAACACACAAACAGACTCATCAGCAGTCTCTGGTCTGACCCAACAGACAAAGCCAAGTGAATTCCTCCCATTTTCTCAGAGTTCAAAGTTATCCTGGAAAAGAGCTCTTCTGCATGTCCACTGCAGTATCTATTCATTTCTCGTTCCCGCTGTATTTACTGGTTAGAACTTCTTCTAACATTTTCACAGCCACTAGCACCATGTCCTTTACTGCCCCCCTCTGGTAAAACCACACAACCTTGTTTATTTACAGTAAAAAAGTTAACGAAAAACAATGTCTCGCTGCACTACCCACGTTTTGTTGCAAACCAGCTTTTCTGTTAGTCGTCTTCAATTCTTTCTATAAAGCTTTTTGGTATAACCCAGAGTACACCGGTGCATCATTAATGATGAACTGTCATTTAAAGGGTTAAGCTAAACGGATCCAATAAGATCCCAATATTTCACAGATGAAGAAAGTTCAAATTCTTGAATGTATTTTCTGTATTTCAAAGATAGTTTAAATGGACATCAATATGTTTCTATTCACAGCAGCTTGATTTAGATTACCTTTACTGAACACTCCTGAGAAGGGTCACACTGGTCTAAAGTACACAATTTATAACTACTTAAATATATCACTTTTTTACCTGTTTCTGTGAATAGGTTATGTATATTTACTCTTTGGATTTGAACTAAAATCTGATTTGGGACCTAAATATGCAAAAATACAACTAATTCTGCACTGCAGCCATAATGTTGGTTGAAGAGTGGACAGTGGCTCACCACACTGTCGCTGGACTCTGGGATGGTGACAGACTTCATCAGCAGCTCCACGCCTGTAGTCTGCCCAGAAAAACAGAGGAGATAATGAGGATATTTATTCAAAAGTATCTGGAGCTAAAGAATCGTCATGACAGGTTTCAACTTTCTTTTCTTTGGATGAAAAGAGGAGAGAAGAGTGATGCGGAGAGATGGGGAGTTGCTTTGGGACTCGGTGTTACGGCAAAATGTCTGATGTGATTTATGGTTGATGTCAAAAGAAAACCATCACTGATTAGCAGCTTGGCTTGGCCTGACTGCAGATTTACCATCCTGACATTCAAATCTTTACCTATGGTGCTGTGTCTCCATTACTCTGAATCGTATTTCTCTTAATGCCTCAATGAAGTTAAATCCCTGAGGAGAAGAGTTCCAATCCTTAGTTTAATGGTGCTACAATGGCTATCTTTCAGACTTAGCGAGAGTCCGATCTTTAATAAAAACCTGGCTGTACTCAGTATCTGGCCATGAAATCAGATCACTGGCAGTTCCCACAAACAGCCTTCCCTCCTCTAATTGTAACTGGGAAATAGTATGGATGATCTAACAGCATAATCACATCGGCATGGGTTCAAAACTAATAATGCATTAGATAAACACACAAGTCAGAAAATAGGCAAATAAGTTTTACTACTGAATAATATTTGTAATATTTGTTCACAAACTAATACAAAGACCTTGGTCTACTAACAAATGCAGTCTATAGAAGCCAAAAGATCTAAACAAGCCTTAAGCAGACTGGACATTTGGAGGCTGCCATTTCTCTCTATGATACTCTGGTTTGAGATCAGTGGTAACCTTGAGGAGGTGAGCGTAGCTTTCTTCACATCAGCATCAAGCTCTATTTTGATCTGATCATCAAACCTTGTAGCTAACCGAGCATGTCTAATGAAAGAGATTAAAATCCTGGAAGCACGCAGACGTTTCACACACGGCGCCTCTGTGAAATACAAATGCGCACTCTTCACTTGACCTGATTTACAAAAAATTCACACTTTCAAGCGAGCACACGCGTCGCGCACGGCAGCGAGCAGCAGGCTCACTGCCGAGTGGTCTAATGAGCTGGTGGGATGCAAAGGAAGCTTCTCACTGGAATGTCAACAAGGGTCTATTAGCAACAAATAAGCTCGGAATATTGCTAACAGGCCGTCTGACAGTTTCAAAGGTGGACGTGAGCAGAATGGCTGACAGCTTCAGCTACCCTTCAAAATCAAAAGCCGAACCTGAAAGATGATCTGAGCGTCTGCACAGGGAGACGCTCAATATCATAGCAATATTTATTTTCATTTTTCTTATTTCTAAGCATTATGAATTTAAATCTAACAGTTACCATTGTAAAACTCTTTCATTATAAGCCCAAATATAGAATCGAATCAATCCCACAGATGATTTCCAGACAGCAGGAGGTTTTGCGCTCTTAATCAGTCCGAATCAATTTTCACATTTCAGGCTCAGCTTTGTGAACCAAGCATGTGTTTGAGTTACCCAGGCTCATTCAAAGAGCCTTGATCCACTGATGCACAGAAACCTCTCTACTTTCCCTAATGGAGCATGCCTTTTCGATTTCCTGCTTGTTGCATGGACTTTTTCATCAGTTTTATCTATATTATTTGAATATATTTATCTATGTTGGACATTTTTCAAACAACTTTTTAGTAAATATATTTCAATCTTTTTCTAGAATTCACCAAGGAAACATACGAGCTAACTGCTAACTCAAAAGCTCTCCCATGCATGTGTAAGCGTGTGGTACCATTCTGAAAAACTCTGCACTGCTCATGTTCTGTGTGTGTTTGTGTGCGTTTGCTTGCTTCGTACCTGTTCTTGTGGCTTCCCAGAATCCTATCGTATTAATTATTGACATTCCCGTCACCTCAGAACCCCAATACTGCTGACACAGTAAGAGCTTCACACACACACACACACACACACACACACACACACACACACACACAC